CTCAAGGGTCAATTTGAGTATGGCCATTTTCACCTCATCTGTTTCTGCATTGTGGAGATTGCATGGGAAATTTTTCTACTTCATTCTTCTGCTTATTAGGACAGTATTCATTTCTAAACTCACCGTCTAGAATGACACTCATATTGACCTGTTGACTTCTTTCACTGCAAGATTTTGCAGAAGATTGATTTTTAAAAGGGTCTCAGTGTAATTTTGCATCTCTTCGTTCACCCAACCCTTCCCTTCCCTTCTTCCTTTCAGGTGATAGAGTTACATGGAAAAGGAGAATTTAGTCTCAGGTATAAAGCATCAGTCATAATAGAACAGGGCAGCCTCCTGCCCAAATAAAATATTTGTGGGAGGGGGGGAGCAAAAGAGGGGAGTTTGTGCAATTTCTAATTTTCATTTCTTTTAAATGTTTCCTCCAAAGCAAAAAAAAAAAAGAAGCAATGTTTAAGTAATTGCTACCAAGCCAAGAATAAATATGAAAGAATCTACAGTAAAAAAATAAGTAAAGCCTCTAAATTTTTCCCACATGCAAACGCCATTTTATTGCATTTAGATGATTCAGAGGAGATTTGGAGCCATAACACATGAATCGGTCAGTTTCCTGGGTGAGAATCTGCAGCGAATTGGAACAAAATTTAAAAGTTCATTGGAAGTTATGACGACGTGTTCAGAATGCCCCACTGTTTTTGTGGATGCCGAAACGGTAATATCTTATATCTGTGTCTACTTGCTAACTGTTCTGATTAGGGCTTCTTATTAGTAAACTAAGGAAGTTCTTTATTTTGGAATTTGCCAAGAACATTTCCTATCATATATATATATATATATACATATATTCTCTTCAGTTGGGAACACATGTTATTGGAAGCCCACAGGATCAACAGACTTGTCTTCTCTCTATCTCTGTTGACAAAACTCATTGCCCCATGATGTCAAGTAAATGGATCTAGAAAATGAACTTTCAAAAGTGCTTGGTATTCTTTGCACAAGCACCTTAATCCAGTGTGTGTGTGTGTGTGTGTGTGTGTGTGTGTGTGTGAGAGAGAGAGAGAGAGAGAGAGAGAGAGAGAGAGAGAGAGAGAGAGTAAGTAGCTGACTTTTACTTATTCATTATTACTGGGTCTTGATTCTTCTCATTTGCTGATTGGTATTAGATCAGTCTATTCTCCAGTAACCTTCAGGATAATGATAAGTTTGTCCTTCATAAAGTAGATACACATCTCAAGTTGCATTTGGGAAATGAAATACTCGCAAATAAAAGATAGAGCAATATTTCCAGTTCGGGCATTGCATTGCCAAGCTACTCATCCCATTAGCACTCCAAACAAGTCATGCTGTGCTATCAGCTTGTTTATACGGCATCTGCAAACTTTCAATTCTGCAGAGTGATTTTCTGCAGGAGAGAAAAATGTTTACATCAAAATGTTATGCATTTGCTTCCCTACAAGTTCAGCATCTTGCATTATTATAATACATCAGCGGCTCCCAACCTTTTCTATACCCCGCACCCCTAGAACGCTTCTGATATATTCTCGCACCCCTTACAAAAGTTTGAAATAACGGCAACGAATTATGTATATATGCTATAATTTTGAAAACCCAAGTTTTTGCACCCCCTGGAATATCGTCTCACACCCCTGGTTGGGAACCCCTGCGATACATGAATTGCATCTTTTATCCATCATTTTAATAGATAATTCTTTAGTAACAGTACTTAACAAAGGGGTGCATATTTTAATCCATCATTTAATAGATAATTCTTTAGTAACAGTACTTAACAAAGGGGTGCATATTTTAATCCATCATTTAATGGATAATTCTTTAGTAACAGTACTTAACAAAGGGGTGCATCTCATCTAGGCAGTTCTTTTTTTAAGATGTACATTTCTGTATTTTCATGTGTCATGTAGAATAATTATTTCTGGCAGAGGTATAGAGTTGATATTAACAAGGGATATAATTTGTATTGTATAAACAATTCCGGCAATTTCCTTAATATTTGGAGGTATTTCTGTAATCTTAGTAGATGTTGCAACATGTTTAAAAATGTAAATAAGTACATATTATATTTCACATGGAACTAATTAATAAGGTTTTTAAACATTTTTTTTGTATTACAGTTAATGTCCTGTGGTTTACTAGAAACATTGAAATTCAGTGTTCTGGAGCTTCAAGAACATTTGGACACTTACAATGCTAAAAGAGAGGCAGCCGAACAGGTAGTTAATATTTTTGTAAAGTATTACACTGCATTGGATAAGTTAATGATCATTGGAATTTTATATAACATATATTGGACTCTCCTACAGTGTAGTGTGAATTGAGGGAGGTCAAAGACCATACGACATATATTCACATTTGAAATAGAATGCATCCACTAGACCAGGGGTAGGCAACCTTGGCTCTTTCATGACTCGTGGACTTCAACTCCCAGAATTCCTGAGCCAGCCATGCTGAGGGGAAAGGGAGAGTTTCCAAGCTGAGCCAGGCTGGCTCAGGAATTCTGGGAGTTGAAGTCCACGAGTCATAAAGCGGCCTAGGCCAGAGTTAGGCAACCTTGGCTCTTTTATGACTCGTGGACTTCAACTCCCAGAATTCCTGAGCCAGCCACGCTGAGGGGAAAGGGAGAGGTTTCCAAGCTGAGCCATGCCGGCTCAGGAATTCTGGGAGTTGAAGTTCACGAGTCATAAAAGAGCCAAGGTGGCCTACCCCTGGTCTAGGTCTTCTTCAGAAATGAATGTTAAAACAGTAAAAAAAAAAAATCTTTTAAAAAGTAGCATTTCAAAAGGAATAGAACTTCCAGCAACTTCAAAGAATTCTAGTGTAATGATGAGTTTTTGCAAATATAATAATAGTAGAACACTTGTGTTTTCGGAACCAGAATTTGATTGTCTGGAAGGAAACTGACTTGTAACTGACATCTCCTGAAAGCTTCCTTTGTCTCAGAAATACGCTCTGAACCGCCTTACACCTTTGCTCTGCCCTAATCATTCAGAGATACCGCAAGGAACAACAAGCTGAATACAGAACTATAACCATAGACAGTATTTGACAGTCTCATTATAGAAAACTCAAGTTAAGAGTTCCTATTGCATTAGAATGACAAAAGGTCAATAAAGTGCCTGCCCATCAAACTATTTTTTTAAAAAAGAATGATGCTGTGTTATTTTGGTATTCTGAATATTGGATGCTGTGCAAGAGCAGAAAGAAAGTACAGTAAACCCCAGAAAACAAAATTGGTTTCTGGAGCTTCCTACTGGCCTTATTCTTTTGATTTTACTTTGATCTAGGGCAGGGGTAGGCAACCTTGGCTCTTTTGTGACTCGTGGACTTCAACTCCCAGAATTCCTGAGCCAGCCATGCTGAGGGGAAAGGGAGAGGTTTCCAAGCCGAGCCATGCTGGCTCAGGAATTCTGGGAGTTGAAGTCCACGAGTCATAAAAGAGCCAAGCTTGCCTACCCCTGTTCTAGAGAAAATTGGTTTTCCCCGCTTGCCTGGGTTACATTTCCATGTTCTCCCCTCCCTTACATTTAATTTCCATTTTATATTCCACTTTGGGGAACTAATAATAAACTAATACAGGTAGTCCTCGGCTTTCAACCACAATTGAGCCCAAAATTTATGTTGCTAAGCGAGACGGTTGTTAAATGAGTGTTGCCCCATTTCACAATCTTTCTTGCCCCTGTTGCTAAGTCAGTCTCTGCAGTCGTTAACTTAGTAACGCGGTTGTTAAGTGAATCTGGCTTCCCCGTTGACTTTGCTTGTCAGAGGGTCGCAGAAAGTGATCGCGTGACCCCCGGGACACTTTGACCGTCATAAATACGAGTCAGTTGTCAAGTGCCTGAATTTTGATCACATGACCCACGGGGATGCTGCAACGGTCGTGAAGTGTGAAAAACGGTCATGAAGTCACTTCAGTGCTGTTGTAACTTCGAACAGTCACTAAATGAACTGCTGTAAGTCTAGGCCAGGGGTAGGCAACCTTGGCTCTTTTATGACTCGTGGACTTCAACTCCCAGAATTTCTGAGCCGGCATGGCTCAGCATGGAAACCTCTCCCTTTCCCCTCAGCATGGCTGGCTCAGGAATTCTGGGAGTTGAAGTCCACGAGTCATAAAAGAGCCAAGGTTGCCTACCCCTGGCTTAGGACTACCTGTACATCAACAGATAAGAATTAATATCTGCTTACATTATGTGGGGGAAATTGCAATTCATTTAATATATATTTGTGAAAAACAAGAAAAAATATTTTTATTCTAGAGGGAAAGAGAAGTAGATATTAGGAGCGATCTTTGCTGCGCCACCGTTGCACTGAATGTGAATCTACAGTAGGATTTATAGAATCCTTGTCAGTCCTTGCACCTATAGAGGTGATTAAGGGGAGAATGTTTCAGCGCCCCTATTCTTCCCTTCTGCCCCTATGTGTTTTTTAGAAGTATACAAGAATAAATGGGGGGGGGGGGGGAATCCGTGGAACCCTTTTGGAACACTTTGTGCAGGGATAAGGTTATGCTTCAGGGTTACGTTATTTATTGCAATTCTGCTCCACACTTGAAGTAGTAAAAGAGGAAGTAAAAAAGAAGAAGAGCCATGGATGCTATCAAATGAAACAAAAAATGTCAAAAAGAAAGATGTGTTGGGCTCCATGCCATTAATTGACATGCTAGCGTTTAGAAAATTCAATTTGTTCTCAAGAGAACGCACAGTCCTAATTCACTTACCGAAAGCCCTAATTCAATATACTAATGAAAAATTAGATTTTTGTCCTCTTGTATACAAAGGTTAAAAAAAAGTCATAATCATAGTTGGGTTCATTATTCTGCTGGCATAGAGCTGCCTGCAACTTGGTCTAAAACATAATTAAGTTTTATTCCATTACAGTTGGTGAATTAAAGCACATTCCTCACTGTCTATCATTGAATTCAGTAGGTGCTACAAGTATGTAATTTGAGGGGGTTTTATGTCTGTCCCTACATGTGCATCCATGGTTGCCTGGTTCTCGTCCAACACTACATGTAAATGTGATTTGCTTCAGGTTTAGCAAGCTATCAGAACTCACCCATAATGGCTTAGTGTTATGAATTAAAAATCACGGCTTGTTCATTGAACTAAGGTTAAATAATGTTAGTGATCAGCGGGCCGGATTTTATACATGAATCTGTATTTAGAAAAGAGACTAGATTTTACCTCTTTGATGATGTATTGGTATTTCAATTATCTTCTCTTTATCATTTCAAACTACACATCAAAGTACACTATAAAAAGTGACAGTTTTAAAGGTATGCGTCATATATTTTATTACCTTTTTTTCTGAATATGTCCTTTAAATTAATAGGTTACATTATAACGTTCTGTGATTCAAGCAAAATGTGTTTTCTGTGTCCAGGCTCATGTAGGCATCCATGATTTTGCGTTGACTCTTTCAGCTTGCTTCTATTTTATTTTGCAGTGGCTCAAAGACTGCAAAAGGACGTTTGGCACAGATGATGGTATTCACGGAGCTACTACGGATGCTCAGGTAGGCCTCTGCTTCCAGTTACTTTGTCTGTTTATGTCATGCGTAAATATGAAACCATACATGCGGCAGAACGATCAGGTCCTCATGTTCCCAGCAGGTTAAAAAGTAACATTTTTTTTCATTTTAGCTATCAAAAATATCTCTCGGGAAATTTAGAACGTATTAAGTATTGGCCTGGAAATAATGGATTCTTCTTATTAAAAAAAAAAAAAAGCCAGCTTGTGGGTCTGAGTCTAATAACATTGAACAGATAACCAGGAAAGATGGAATCATTGTTCAAACACTCCTCTGTCTGTTATGAAGCTGCTATTGCAAGGAAGAAATTTGGTATTCTGCATATCGGTTCATCAGATAAATAGCTTGTCTGGCACAGAAGCTAGGCTGCCTCAAATCTAATTAGTCCTGTGACCTGCCTGGAAAGTAATATTAAAAATAATTAGTTGGACCACGAAAATCTGATCTGAAGTGTTTGCAAAGAGCTATCAACAGTAGAAAACACAGATTTCTTAAAACCAATAATTACGTTAAAGCATTTTTGAAAGGATCAATAACTGCAGAGTATTAGTAAGTATATAAAAATACTGTTAACAGGGGAAAAAAATCAAATATATCCATGCTATTTCTGGGGTATTGGTGGTTTGATTTTAAACTATTTGATGAAGACGGATGGCCAACTATAGCATTGCCCGGGAGCTGTTATATTCTTTTTGGTTTACTAGAACTGACAGGAAAAAAAATCTTCTGAGTTATCAGAGTTATCTTTGCATCTGGAAAAAAACAACTGGTGGATAGAGTCAGATCTTCTGATACTACTCCTAAGAAGATTTGTTTTGTCCAGACTTGGAGAAGAAGCAGACAGATTATAATTTTTTTTAGAAAATGTTTAGATTTTATTGTAATTTACTCTCATTTTTTTATTAAGAAGTTGGAAGGCGGTTCCAAGGAGAGAGTTAAATTTTAAACAGTAACAGATTTGGTTTTTCTTGGTAAGGTAGATGCTAGTAAGTAACAATCTGTAGCAAATTTAAGCCACTGCCTTTCCCAGCTACCTATTAAAGAGTTGGGGCATTTTTAGCACGCAGAAGACTGAAGCGGAGAGATCTTCAACCACTGAATTATGCAGAAGTTTGTAGCTTTTTCTTTCCCAGATAATGTAAGTTTCAAGAAATCAGAGTCTAGCTCAGGGGTCTTCAAACTTGGCCCTTTTATGACTGGTGGACTTCAACTCCCAGAATTCCTCGGCCAGGCACATGTGCCTGGCTGAGGAATTCTGGGAGTTGAAGTCCACCAGTCATAAAAGGGCCAAGTTTGAAGACCCCTGGTCTAGCTGACTACTGTGTGAGCAGAGTGTGGGGGGAACTTTTTTGGCAATAAGAGCACTTGATCATTCAAACTAGTGACCCAGAAGAAGCAATGGGATTCCCTGTACTTTACGTGTTCGTGCCGAAGTTAGACAGTAACCTGTCCACGGTGCTTTCATTTGGATTCTTGCGCGATCCGAGATGGTTGGACTCGGCACAAATGGCGCATTCCACTTCTCTGATTCTAGAATATTTATTTTCTAGATAAAAAGTATTTCCCCCTTCCCTCAGATAGTGGTGTTGGTTTTTTTTCAAATAGCAGTACTTGCAAAAAAATTTATTAGGAAGCTGTCATTCTGATCTCATTTCAGAAGGCTATCTTGCACCGTGCCTGTTATTTCCAAAACAGAAATATCAATTGGGAAAAGAGTATCAAGCTTGACTACGGCCACCTAACGCTAAAATAGAAGCCCGCTGTCAAAAAGATTGAAAGCTGGCTAGACATCCTCTAGGGCACGGGTCCCCAACCCTTGGTCCATGAACTGGTACCGGGCCGCAGCATGCCACCAACCGATCCGCACAAATGAGCAAAGCCCCATCCGTGTGGGATGCGGGCAGCACACAAAACCCCCGGTCCATGGAAAAAACTTTCTCTACGGAACCGGTCCCTGGTGCCCAGAAGGTTGGGGACCTCTGCTCTGTGGTGCTGACCTAGCCCTGTTTTCAGGCTAGAGATCTAAAAGGAGTCAATATTTCTGTTCAGCTTGAACACAGAACCACCGTTAGGAAGACCTGGGCCATGGCCTGCTTGATTGGGTCACAGTCCTTTAGTAGGCAAGGAAAGAGGCCCGCACTATTGCCGCTTCAGAGAAAGCCAGAGACAGCACAGAGTGAGCTTGGAAGAGACGAATCTGGTAGCCGTCTCCAGGGTCAGTTCCCAATCTTCTAGGTCAGGGCTTTTCAACCAGTGGTACGGGTACCGCCTGTGGTACATTGGCACCTGGCAGGTGGTACGCGACCATCCTAGAAAAGTGGTAGCGGGGGAGGGGAATGAGCTGAACCGGTGGCAGCACCACACAAGCCTGAGCGAGAGACGGTTGGAGCTGCAGGGCTGTCAGGGCTCAGCGGAAGCGCCAGGATCAGTGCTGCTTTCCAGCTGATTGGCACTTTTTCAGGGCTGTCAGGGCTCAGTGGAAGCGCCAGGATCAGCGTCAGGCTCCTGGCGCTTCTGCTGAGCCCAGAAGAAGCGCCGATCAGCTGGAATGTTGCAGCATCTCCAGGGTCTTGTGATTTACATTCAGATGCTTGGCAACTGATTCATATTTATGACGGTCACAGTGTCCCAGGGTCATGTGAAGTGACCAAAACCTGCTGCAACCACCCAGCAGACGGGGGGGGGATAAAAACCAAACACCCCCCCACCCCACCCCCGCTGCCAATCCTCAACAGAAATGCTCACAACAATGGAAACCTCGGACAGGAGGAAGAGCACCGCCGGGCGGGCAGGCAGGTGTCTTGCTCGGCTGTGGCTTGGGGGGCACTTTTTTCAGTGCCATTGTAACTTCGAACAGTCATTAAGCGAACTGTTGTAAGTCGAGGACTACCTGTACTTTATCACTTTTTTCCTTTTTTTTTTTTTTGGTCATCAAGTTTTTGACACCTTGATAAGCGACTGGTGGTACTCGGATATTGCCATATCCTAAAAGTGGTACAATGGGTGAAAAGGTTGAAAAGCCCTGATCTAGGTGATCCAGCTTTGACCAGTTGAGAGTAGCACGTGAGCTTTCTTTTGAGTCTTTGCAGTGTTTTTTTGTTTATCCAGGAGGGAATAATTCTCTTTTTTTTTTCCTGTTAAGAATATGATCCTTTATTCCTTGCAGAAATGTTCTCTTCTGTTTTCCCGCTCCCGCTACAGTTACCTCTATCCAGGAATGCCCTATATGAGTACTTATCGCGAAGTTCCTTTAAATGCATGAAGTTTGATGTCTGCCTTCATCGTTGTCGCTTAAACCTATTTATCCCCAGTTTTCTTCTCTCTCCATTCATTATCTTGTCACTATATATTTTGGTCATTTTGCATGATAACAAAGCAAGTAGTACAGCCAGCTGTTCTATCATCTACAAATAGTATTATTTTTATACCTGCATTAAATTCTTCTTTGGAAGGTTTTTTTTTGCTTTCGCTTTAATTATATCTGGGACGTTCTAAGACCTGCGGAAAATAAAGTTCTATACTAATTCTTGATCTTTTTTCCTTTTTCTATTTTGTGACCCGCACACCTTCTTGCTTAGCATTTGGAAATTCTAGCAGTAAGTGATGGCTCTTGATTTATCGAATAATTAACTACGCCAGTAGCCAAGCTGGCTTTCATTGTCTCTTGTCCATTTGTGATATCACAGTTGTTTCATTATAAAATATTACGGAAATAACCATTGCTTTGCTTTATCTATAATTCTAACTCTTCAGCAGTCTTTTTAGATGGCAGAATATTGTAGCTCTAGCCAATTATTCCGTTGTTAGTTTTGCTTATTTATTTTAAATCCATATTAACAGTCATATCCACTAATACAGTTACATACACAAATAGAGGTGATACTACGCTTCTGTTCACGAATCCATTACCTTGAAATATTATTAAAAATAATCAAAACATTAAGAATATATATACAGACTGTATCAAAAGTCAGGCTTCACGGCCAGCCACAAGGAATGTTCGAAGGCCACACGTCAAAAGAGAAAGGAAGCATTTAGAAGGAAATGGCAACCAATTTGATTGTTTAATTTATAGAATAAATTGTGTACGGGGCCTGATTTTTGGTACACCCTCTATGTATGTATGTTTATATGTTGTGTGTGTGTATACAGAAATGATACCTTTATTTGCAATACAATAGATTGAAATGTGATTAGGGCAGTGGTTCTCAACTGATGCAATTCATTTCATAGTAAGACGGAGCCCACATATGCCAACAGTCCCAGAAAATCTGGTTTTCAGGGCACTGGACATGATATCACCGGTCCTTTTTATCCATTTGCCTAAAGGCTGGAGAAAGAAGGGGTTCATGTGTGGTCCTGACCCACCCTGTCTTCAGCCACCATGCCTTTGGGGGACTAACTTGTGTTCACTTAAAATTATTACAGTTCTCTGTGTCATCTAGGATCCAGCATCCGATCTGATTCGGTACATTTTGTCAGGCGAAATGAAGCGGTGATAGGAGTTCAGGCCCATTTGACCCTTCAACCTTCTGCGTTGGGGGACTCAAGTCGTTGCACCACCTCGCAACCTGGACAGATGGCCGTTGAATACAGTGCGAGGTCGAGATCCGTCACGTTTGAAGATGCAGGATGAAAACTTTTCCTCACCCCCCTCATCTCCACGAGATCGTGCACCTGTGTGCTGGTTGTTATCTGAGACAGCAGTTTCTTGCCATTTTGAGGAAATGTTGCTCACTTGGCTAAGCACGCTGTAATTTCAGGCCTCGGTCATAAGGCCGAGACCGTGATTGGAGGCAGCCGGTTGGGGAGGGTGGGAGCCACAGTTGCCCTAAAGCAGTGATGGCGAACCTTTTAGAGACCGAGTGCCCAAAACCTGCCCCACCTCCCTGCCCCTGCCCGCTCCATCCACGTTCCACCCGCCCGCAGGGCCACCCACTGCCTCCATGGCCCACCACAGATCACCCAGGCAGCCTAGCGGCGCCATGGTGGCCACGCCCTCTGCCCGCACCCCGCAGCAGCATCTGCACATGACGGCGCGAGGGCGGAGTCTTGTCCCCACTGCCCGGCTGCCATGTCCTTGGCTGCGCTGTGCTCGGGGGTGACTCTCCTCCGGGGGGCTGCTGGTGTGGAGGGGGCCACGGGGGGAAGCAAGGCTGGGGCGATAGCGTGCATGCCCAGAGAGAGGGCTACGAGTGCCACCTCTGGCACACGTGCCGTAGGTTCGCCACCACTGCCCTAAAAGAAGGAAGATCCACGCAGCAGGACACTGTTTGCCCATTGCGCCCCTGGGAAGTAGCTTTGAAAAGGGACCTAGGCAAGGATTGTCGACGAGAGGCTGGGATAGATGGGAAGGAGGCTTGAAAGGGCATCGTGATGGTGCTTGAATGGATGGCTAGCTTGTCTCCTCTCTCCCCCCGACAGGGCTGGAAGACTTTTTGTTTTAGGGTTTTCTGGTCTGATGGAGGGGAGAAAATGAAATGCCATGCCCCAAGTGGCATATCCAGAATTGCCTGTAAATAAACGACTGCCGGTCTCGGCGGGAGGATATTGGGATTATATCGGTAGGATGGACATTATTTGATGGCGTGCTTGACCGGATGTGCAGTGAAAGGTTGAGAACCACTGTTCTAAAATTAGAAGCGACAGATCACCCAAAATGATACAAACTTTTTTTTTTCCCCTGCTGGAGCATGGCATTTTCTGAAATGTCATCAGCATCCCCCTTCTCTTTGCTGGAAATGGCTGCCCTTCTTAAAAGCCAAAGTTTATTACGTAGCCAGCAAGAGAATATTTTACTTTTTTAATGCTAAATCCACAGATGACTTAGAAGCACTTGTTTTTCTCTGATTAGCTTCTTCCTCCATTATCTTAACCTTTCTCCTCTGCAGTAAGCGAATAACTTTTTATATTGCAAATTCTGCTCGACGCCAGTTGTATGCTATTGTCACTTCTTTGGTTAATGTATTGCTTTTCGAATAACCACTTTTTATTTTATTTATTTATTTGCAGGAACTAGAGCTGTGTCGGAGGCTATATAAGCTGCATTTCCAGCTGCTGCTTTTATTTCAAGCCTATTGTAAACTTATCAGCCAAGTGAATGTAGTGAAAAAAGAGGCAGAGGTAAAGAAAATGCCAATGAATTTGCTTTTACTACAAGATTTAACGCTAAGAATTACATCTCTGATGATAATAACAATAACAATAACAATAATAATAATAATAATAATAATAATAATAATAATAATAATAATGGAAGGGACCTTGGAGGTCTTCTAGTCCATCCCCTGCTCAGGCAGGAAACCCTATGCCTTTTCAGACAAATGGTTGTGCAATCTCTTCTTAAAAACTTCCAGTGTTGGAGCATCACAACTTCTGGAGGCAGGTTGTTCCACTGCTTAATTGTTCTGTCAGGAAATTTCTCCTTAATTCCAGGTTGCTTCTCTCCTTGATTTGTTTCCACCCATTGCTTCTTGTCCTGCCTTAGGTGCTTTGGAGAATAGCTTGACTCCCTCTTCTTTGGGGCAACCCCTGAGAGGCAATCCCTAAAATCTCTGAATTAAAAGATTAAATCTATATAAATAAAAATGTAAATGTTCGTTTGTTCAAAATCTTAAATCTCCGAAAGTTCTTCACCGATTGCTTTGAAATTTTGACACAACGTTGCATTCGAATACGCGCGTGTTTTTATATACCTACTATTATATAGATGTCACACCTGTGACAGGTAAAAACGTGTTTTTTTAAAAAAAAACAAACCACCATCTGTTGGACGTAAAAGCAACACACGCTAACCAGACTGAGCCAGAGCAACGCGTGGCCGGGTACAGCTAGTAGACTAATAAGAATGGCTATGCATTGTGACCTTTCCGCTTTTGTGCTCAAGTGTGCACTCAAAGCGTTTGATAACCCGTAAAAATACAAAATTCGATAGCTCATCAAAGGGTTAGAAAATATAAACTCATATTAAAATTAGCTAAACATTAAATCAGTTTGAGACTTGATCCTCATCCAGTTTTATCAGATTTCAGTGAAGCACCTAAGCACCGGTATATTCACCATAAATGCTTGAGGTATTTATGAGAACGTAAGTCAATATATTTAATTGTGATAGCTTAATTTCTCATCTCGCCTTAAATAATTTAAACATGCTTTCTGCATAAGGCTGTAACAGAGTAAGGCGGGGGAAATGGCTCTGCTACAAAAAAAAATGCACGTGTCTCTTTTTTTCCTAGGTAATAAACATGTCGGAAGAGCTTGCTCAGCTGGAAGCCTTCCTGAAAATAGCTGCCGAGTCTGTTTCTTATAGCAGTACTGAAGAAATTCATATCCCAGAAGCTTCCCAGGCCAGCACAGAGACAGCCATTCATTCGCTCATTGAAACCTTACGGAATAAGGATTTTTTCTCTGCTATAGCACAGGTCAAAGCGTTCAGGTACTGCAAAATGGCTTTTGCTAACATTCCTTAACTTGAAAAGGATACAGCTGGGAGTGGGTCTCACGTAAATCTGGTTTCCATGGAAAGGAAGAGCGCCGTAAAGTATTGATAACCTTTAATACCAATAGAAGAGACTATATGGCAGTGGTGGCGAACCTATGGCCCGCGTGCCAGAGGCGGCACTCAGAGCCCTCTCTGTGGGCACGCGCGCCATGCCCCGGAGAATGGCAACCGTCCCTCTTCAACCAGCCGCCCGCTAACTCACCGAGGTCCCACGTGGCCGGATGCATCCCAGCACCCATGCGCTCGCTGGCCTCTGTGTGCAGGGGCTGATGGTGTCAGGCAGCAGCTGCCCCCGCCCCTGACTCGCCTTGCCTTGTGACAATGGCACCCCCGCCCTGCCTCGCCTCTCCCCGCAGGACGAGCCTTCTGCCCACCGTCCCACCTGCCAGAGACCCCCTGGATCTCCCCCAACTCTGCCCAGCCCCCACAGGTGTCCCTCCCCACGAGCAACATTGAGGTGATCACGCCCATCTTGGCCACACCCACCCAATCTGCCATGACCACCACAGCCATGCCCATCCAGTGGGCCACGCCCACCTGGCACCCGGCGATAAATAAGTGGGTTTTGGGTTGCAGTTTGGGCACTCAGTCTCTAAAAGGTTCACCCTCACTGCTAATATGGGCTGAACTATGGTGCTCTCTGAGCTTGGTAGCTTCTAAAATGGTTTATTCAGATGAAGAAGGAAGAATTGTGATGGTAGACACATACTTACACCAGAAGCAAACACTGTTAGTAGTAATCTATGCACCAAATAACAACCAGGAAGAATTTTACCAAAGCCCCCATAGAAAAATAATAGAAATGGAGTATCAAAATATTTGTTTAGTAGGAGACTTTAATGCGATAGTAGATGGGACAATTGACTATAAAAGCAGTACAATAGGGAAAAGTGGAAGAAAAAGTCCACCTAAGACATTCTTTAATATGGTAGATGAAATTGGAATACAAGATATTTGGAGGGAAATTAATCCGGAAAAACTACAACATACTTTTTATTCAAATAGTCAAAAATCCTGATCAAGAATTGGTATGATTTGGACGACACCTGAATTGAGGTTGAACATCCAACTAGGTTTACATTTTCAGTGAACTCAAGAGTGCACCAGGTGCTCCACAAGCAATAGGAAATGCAGTCACCGAGTCTAGTTTTGGGAAATGGGTGGGTTTTAGCAGAATTTAGCAGAATTCGTGCGAATTACACCTCCGTAGCAAAACCTAGATGCATTAATTTAGAACAGAGATGGCCAACTTGATAAGAACAGTGACTAATGCCTTAATTTCTCTGTCCCCAGGTGCATTTGGCCCAACGACATATTTGGCGATTCCGAAGAAGATCCGATCCAAACCCTCTTGCACATATTTTTCCGTCACCAGAGCCTTGGCCAGACTGGCAGTTTTGCAATAGTTGGCTCCAAACAAGATATGTCAGAAGCCAGCTCAAAACTCATGGAACTGAATTTAGAGATTCGAGAATCCCTGCACGTGGTGCAGTCGTACCAGCTTCTCGCAAAACACACGGCTGTGAGAAATCTGAGTACAGGATTTTGAACCACCGTTCCTCAGAAAAACACTGAAAGGGGGTGGGGTGGGAGTGGGGTCCCTTTTATCAAGCACCTTTCATATCGAATGAAACTTTTCTAGAAACAAGTGGCGTAGTTTAGTAACAGTTCTCAAAACAGCTGACATCACCTTTAATGCTTTTTTTTTTACCTTGTATCAGTAATACGAACTCTTTAAAAAAAAATTGCATTAGAGAAAAGGGCTAAAAGCAATGCCTATAAAATGCATTTTTTTTTCCATCGTAAACAGAAAGTACACGGAGTTGCAATAAATAGCCTCTTAACTTGGAGCTAATTAAAGCAGGTGAAATGAGGCTAAAATGAACAGTGGTTGTTTTGGCTGAAGACCTGTGAAAACTTTTCTGGCTTTTAGACAGTAAAATAATCAAATAATGTTTGATTCATAATTTTGACAGTGTCATGAGGAATGTGCTGTATTATACCGGACTATAAAAGACTGCAAAAATCCATTGATTTATCAATATTGTATTTACAAGTTATTCTATTTTTGCCTGTAATGATAAAATTTATGCGTGCAAGTAGGAATGAATGGCTATCCAATCATCATATTTTGAGGATATGGATGTTTGTTAAAAGTTTGAGCATGCCGGAAAAAAAGCACTGCAAGATTATTTTTGGAAAAAAGTATATATTTTTAGCTTTAATTCCTAGTCTGTAAATGTTCTGGAGTTTAATAATATTTAAAACTGGAATTATCCAGTTTTTTTTTAAAAAAAAAGAAATAATATATCTCTAACTGGTTTGGAATACTGCTCAGTTTTCTGATCAGTGCTTATAACAAATAACTGATAACTAACCAAAAGGTAGCTGCTTGCAGAGACTTTAAAAATGTATATTAAAGATGCCTATTGTCCCTCAAAACTCACTAGAAAAAAATAACTTATTTTATTCTGTACATATTCTAGAAATTGTATAGTGTAAAATCCAGTATTTTTTGTATAAATGTTCAATGATGTTTTATTTGAGAATAGTGTTCAAAGCTGGGGGGGGGAGGGAGATAGAACAGTGTTTATATCTGTTGTTCTGCAGAGTTCAAGAGAAAGTTTAAGCAGGCATGGTTTTTTTCATGATTTTTCTTTTAAGCAAAGGCATCAGAGACTATGATAAGGGAGAGAACGCAGCCTACAAGGCCCCCAAAAGTCAGCCTGTAATTCCTTGTCCAAGCATGCAGCATAAAAAGTAACTGGATTCCATTTCAAACCAAAACATTTTTAACGAAGCAAAAAGAGCGAATGTAATTCCTCTATTCAAACAAATCAAAGCCCCAATATATTTTATGTACCTCTCATGCACTGTGATTAAAAATAAAACAAGTTTCCAGGGAGTAAAACACGAGAGAGTTAGCGTGGGCTTTTTTTCTTTGGGGAAATCGATTGTTAAAATATATAGTTCTGCTGAAATGCATTAATTTGAAGGCGCACTGCATTTATAGACCGTTGGACTGATAACGCAAACTTTCGTTCCGTTTCATAACTCTGTTAACAAGATAATAGCACATTCATAGTCATTTTTTTAAGCCTGGTAAAATTGAATTATTTTGAAGGTTCTGTGGTACTTTAGGTTGCGTTCTTAATTATTTAATAACCCATTATAAGTATACATGTAGTTTTTAGTTGTATATTATATTTTTTTCCCCATATTTTATCATTCTCCTTTCTCTGTGTGTGTGTGTTTTGTTTTTTAGGGGGGGGGGGCTTGTTCAAATAAAAATGTCAATTTACTCTTTTGTGTACTTTCTCAAAGAATTTGGGGGGGGGTTGTCGTTTGATGGAGAATACTTGATTACGTGGTGTTTTAGTGCCATATACTTCTTTTTAAAACCTTTGGATGCTTTTTAACGGTGGAGCATGCATATAAACAGACTGTTCCTGATTGGCGTTCAAGAGATTGGCACATGCCTAGTGCAAAACAGTGTGTGGCACTGAAGGACTTGAGTGGAGCATCTCCAGAAACAATGGGGGGGGACTGGTGCTTCCAGAGCATCACATCATGTTTGGCTTTTAGGAATTAACTTTTTAAAAAGCAAAATTTTAATTCGACAGCCCTCGCTTGATCATTCACAATGACAAGATGGTTATTTTCTAATGTTTCCAGATTACATTTCATATCTCCTACATCCTTTGAAAATTCCCCACCTGTGGAAAGACACGGGTCCAGGCCCCAAGACTTAAAAAATGTATCATCAGCTGCCTGGATCAGTGATTTGACTCGTGAATGCCCTCTTTCCTATCTGAGACTTCTGTAAACAGTGTGAGAAATAGACTTTGTCTTGCTTAATTGGCAGAGTCGTATTGGCCACCTATGAATGTTAATTTCATGGCTCCTAATTTTTTATACAGTTTTTAAGAGTATTAAGACGACCTTTTACCGTGAAAACTGTTGAAAAGTGCTCAAAACCAGGTCCTGGTCTCACTTTCAGAGTGTGTCCGCGTGTGTGTGTGTGCAAAATTTGAGTTGCCATAATAGCATACAGGTTTTTCGCAAACATTTGCATAGGTGCTACAATAAAATGACCTAAATTATATACAGTTTTTAAAATAAACAAATTATATCTGGAATGGTTACTTTCTAAAACTGAAGCAAATCTCTGGTAAGTGCTTAATTATAATATAACTGAACAAACATGCACTCATTTTACTAAAAGGACAAGGGGGAAATAGTGATTTTAAGAGAATCGGTTTAGGGTCGTGGTTAAGGCATCAAGACTAGAACCTGGGAGACTGTGAGTTCGAGTCCTGCTTTAGGCACAAAGCCAACTGGCTGACTTTGGCCCAGTCACAAACTCTTCCCAAAAACCTTTCCAGAAATAATTGCCACAGTCAAGACTGACTTGCCACAAAAATTCTCCCTCATCTTTGTGGCAGCCCCTCAAATACTGGAATACTGCTATCGTGTCACGTCTAGTCCTTTTCTCTAGACTAGCCAAACCCAAATCTTGCAACCGTTCTTCCTATGTTTTAGTCTCCAGGCCTTTGATCATGTTACCTACTCTTTTCTGCACTCAACATCCTTTTTTTTTGTAGCGTGGTGACAAACATAAAGTTGATCCACACTTCAGGCAGTCTCTAGATCTGTGTTTCTCAACCTTGGCAGCTTTAATATATGGAATTCGACTCCTAGAATTAATTCCCCAGCCAGGATTCTGGGAGCTGAAGTCTTCATACCTTAAAAGTTGACGAAAGTTGAGAAGCGCTGCTTTAGACAATGGAGACTGCTCCCAACATTGGCAGCCAATTTGGGATTTTTGGCCCGCCGCTTCCTCTTGCTTTGCCAAACGGGAGCGATCCGTTCTGCCAAATTCCTTTGTGCCATCTGGACAAGTCCAGGAGTCAATCTCTCCATCTAATGGTGATGCGCACAAGCAACTGTTCTCTAAAGCTGACGTTACGCTGTTCCGTCACTCGTGTTCAGAGATTCAGCATCATGTATTTTATTTATTAAATTTATTTATTAAATTGTATTTATTTATTTATTAAAGTTATATACCGCCCTATCTCCCTTACGGGACTCGGGGCGGTGAACAGGCGATACTAAAAGCCACAATAATAAATAGTTTCTATGCTAAAATCAAATTAAATAACAGGCCTGTTCTAAAAACACCCCATACAAAAAACCCCACTAAAACATAATCAAACTACGCCAGGCCGGCCGCACGGAATAGATGGGCCTTCAGGGCTCGGCGAAAAAGGCGCAGGTCCGCAATTGTACGTAGGTCGGGGGGGTAGGTCATTCCAGAGGGCAGGAGCTGCCACAGAGAAGGCTCTCCCCCTGGGGGTCGCCAGCCGGCATTGTCTGGCCGACGGCACTCTAAGTGGAACAACTCTCCTTTACAGCCAAACACCTCTGGTTGAACTTTTTCTGCCTGAAAAAGGGGTAGAGGCTACCACTTTATTTAAGGCCACGGACAACTATAGTCCTCCGTTCCCAGACAGGGCCGAGAATGAATAGGGAAGACTCTCCTTTCAGCCAGCAATAACTGGATTATATCATGTCAATCAATGTATATCTTAAAACTAGCGTTTCTCAACCTTAGCCACTTTTAAGATAGCATGGCTGGCTGGAGAATTCTGGCAGTTGGAAGCCCAGACATCTTAAAGTTGGCAGACAAAAATGGTCAACTGAAGGCCCCACCAGAAGTAGCACCTGTTGCGTGCATAGATTTGGTCCTCCGTGGCCAAAAGACTTCAGAAAGTCCAAGCTGTGTTCCGTTAGGACACACGAGTCTCACGTTCTCCCAGAGAGCTAGTGTAACCCTTTGGTTACTTTCTCAAAATCAGAAATGTTTCCTATTTTCACATGTCCCCCGTACCCATCAACGGAATTGTCAAGAGGAGCAGGAATTAATAGGTAGCTGGACTAGAAAAATCTATGATGTCGTACATTTTTATCTATACCTCAAACCCGACCTTTAAACCTCCGTGTTTCTCAGCTTTGGCAACTTTAGGACTTCAGCTTCTAGAATCCTAAACAGCCATGCTGGGTGGGGAATCCTGAAGGTTGAATTTCACACATCTCAAAAGTCACCACGGTTGAGAAACACTGCTTTACATAACGCTTAAGCATCATAAATGCTCTGCAGCTTTCCGTAAAAATTAATCACTCAAGCTGTACAACCCGTTTTTTAAAAAAAATACATTTTCCAACCCCCAGATCAAGAAGCAAAGCTTGGCAATGGGAGATCGGTTGTGTTCAAGTGAACACTTTTCCCCTCTTAGTCTCTGATGGAACCCAAGAATTTCCCCAGTTTGAAAGATCCTGGCTGAATGTCAACAACCAAATGGTAGCCAGTGAAACTGGAAGACACACTGCCCATTTCCTATTGTGCTTAAACCAGTGTTTCTCAACCTTGACAATTTTAAGGCATGTGGACTTCAACTCCCAGAATTCCACAGCCAGCATTGCTGGCTGTGGAATTCTGGGAGTTGAAGTCCACATGCCTTAAAATTGTCAAGGTTGAGAAACACTGGCTTAAACTATTCTAGCACAGTCCCAAAACCATCTTCATTATTGCAGAATAACTTCCTTCAGCATTTCTTCAGTTCTTATAAACTGGTCCCCATTACTTCTTTATGCCCTAGTATAGATTTCAAAAATAAACTCTCTTACAACTAATCTGAATGACAGAAGCCTTATTGATTAGTAACTCTAATAATCTCCTCCCCTCTGCTCATGCTTAAATTGAGCATTCCCAGAAACCAAAATCTGAATAGTGATCAGTTCCAAATTACAGAATGCTTAACACAAACCATTATTCACAGAATTTTGCACGGAAGGAATCGGTGGTATTCTATGGAGCTTTTGAGTCCTTGACTTATCTAGGTTTGGCATTCATGTCAGCAAAGAGGAAAAAAGCAAAGTAGAAATAAGCCACAATTATAATCATGGTCACTTTATTAGAGCTCTGTACTCAGGAAAATAATGAAATTACCATATTGATTCTGGGCAAGGGAAATCCTAGTTGTTTCAAAACTTCAGATGATGCATCGTCTATTAAATGCATCATTACTGACCAACAAAATAATTCCTTTCATAGGTGTGCTGCTGAGATCATGTTCCCATTGAATCGACCCATATCCACAATAACGCCTACGAACCTGGCACCCCCAAACAATTATGTCATTTTACTCAGCTGGACACAGCTGGGAGACAACACAGTGCTGCAGTACAACCCCTGAATTCTGGCAACTTGTGCTTGCTTTTACCATCCCTACTTGAGTTCTTTCAACAGTGTGTTATCACAACTAAAACATTTTCCATTAAGCTTTGCTTGCCTGCATTGGCAATTGTCACTGTGAAATATTACCATAACAGTTGCGTATTTTAGTTGAGGTTGACTCACAGTGCATTCCCCTCTAGAGCAGCTTCTCCTATGAAGAAATTAAGGCGACTCTTTCCTTCCCAAATAACAACAAAGACCGAACTTCTTCCATTACCAAAATAAAATGTAGTTTGTCAGAATGCACCGAGCCAGAGTCCCCTGCTCCTTAATGCAATTATATAACAAATGAGGTAGACGGTTCCATCCTGATTTACAGTTGCTTCCTTTCAGCATCCTTGGCAGGCTTCCCACTCTGGCAGCCTCCCGCTTCCAAACAAACAAAATTTCTGCTCGGTGCAATTTGACAGCGAGGACGCTTCTCTGTGCCCTCCCTTAAATAATATATTTGAAGCTAAAGGTACTATCGCAAGAAAGGCGTTTGCCTTTGCATCTTCCGCAAAGATCTTGACGATGAGGTCTCTTGGGATCCACGTGGCGCAGCTTCACTGGGCAGGAACATCTGGTCTGCTTGCAGCTCTGAAATTGACACCAAAGCAACAGGGTAATTGAAAATAAAAGCGACTTGGATCTGGATATGAATTCCCCAGGAACAAAAATGTTGACTAGGGACAATACGACGGTTTTTCTGTTATTTATGCATACTGTATGGTTGCAAGTGGGATGACTAAGATTGCATGTTACTAGTATTACTATTATTGCATGTTACTAGTATTACTATTATTGCATGTTACTAGTATTACTATTATTATTAAAACTACTCCAAGGAAATGGTTATTTTCTGGTGATCTAAATCAGTGTTCTACAACCTCAGCTACTTTAAGATGTATGAATGTCAACACCTAGAACTAGTGGTACGGGTACCACCTGTGGTACATTGGCACCTGGCAGGTGGTACGCGACCATCCTAGAAAAGTGGTAGCGGGGGAGGGGAATGAGCGGAACCGGTGGCAGCACCACACAAGCCTGAGGGAGAGACGGCTGGAGCTGCAGGGCTGTCAGGGCTCAGCAGAAGCGCCAGGATCAGTGCCGCTTTCCAGCTGATTGGCGCTTCTTCGGGTCTGTCAGGGCTCAGAGGAAGCGCCAGGATCAGCGCCAGGCTCCGGCTGGAGCTCGGCGCTGATCCTGGTGCTTCTGCTGAGCCCTGAAGAAGCACCAATCAGCTGGAAAGCAGCACTGATCCTGGCACTTCTGCTGAGCCCAGAAGAAGCGCCGATCAGCTGGAATGTTGCAGCATCTTCAGGGTCTTGTGATTTACATTCAGATGCTTGGCAACTGATTCATATTTATGACGGTCAGTGTCCCAGGGTCATGTGAAGTGACCAAAACCTGCTGCAACCACCCAGCAGATGGGGGGGAATAAAAACCAAACACCCCCACCCCACCCCCGCTGCCAATCCCCAGCAGATATGCTCACAACAATGAAAACCTTGGACAGGAGGAAGAGCACAGCCAGGCGGGCAGGCAGGTGTCTTGCTCGGCTGTGGCTTGGGGGGCATTTTTTTCAGTGCCATTTTAACTTCGAACAGTCACTAAGCGAACTGTTGTAAGTGGAGGACTACCTGTACTTCATCACTTTTTTCCTTTTTGGGGGGGGGGGTCATCAAGTTTTTGACACCTTGCTAGGCGACTGGTGGTACTCGGATGTTGCCATATCCTAAAAGTGGTACAATGGGTGAAAAGGTTGAAAAGCCCTGGACTAGAATGCTGGCTGGGAATTCTGGGAATTGACATCTACACATCAGTTGCTGAGGCTGAGAAACACTGATCTAGACGGTTATTACAAAGCTTAAAATCTTTCCCTGCTCTCAGATGGCTTAACAAGAGGGAAGCCTTTATATGTCAATATGGCAATAGAAAGAACGAACTGATACGGAAAAGAGGATATAAACTATGCGATTGCTTCCTATATTTAAGAATTCCTGCAAAGAATAAAAGTCCGACTTGAGGCGTTCTATTTACCTCAATTTTATTACGTAGGAAAGTTATAAAGTATCCAGCGATACGCTAAGGGTCAAAATCCCCATATTAAAAACTATATGCACACTTTTCAGCAGTTTGATTCGTAATTCCCGTCCAAAAAACTTGGTTAACTGGGAATATATTAATTTATCCATTCCCAATTCATTGAAAACATAGTTTCTATAAACTTAGGATCACCTGAAATCAATACCAAAAATATTTTAAAGAATTCAGAATGAAATTATACTTTTCAGCTTGGTCCCACCAAATGAGATATTAACACAGGTTGCAGAGCAAAAAACAAAACAAAACATGCACCATCAAAGTGAAAAAAAGTATTTCTAAGCTGAAAAACATTGTCCCATCATCTACAAACGCATCCAGAATCTATTTTATTTTACAGATCTCTGAACCCACCAATTATAGTAACTGTGACTCAACTGGATTGAGTCAGCTGACTCCACCAATAAGTGCAGCGCTGGGTGGCAATCAGCGAATCTCAACTCATCTCCCAAAATTAAACAGGATAAAACCAGGGTGAGAGATTACTAGGGAATCCCAGATTGGGCTTGATTGGGAAGTAATAAAATCCCAGAAAATAGGAGCAAACCTGTTCTATCTGGTGCCAAGCAAACTAAATGGAGCCATCAAAATGGGTCTTAATTTTAGGGCAACTGAAATTTTTATCCGCAGACATACATTTAACGGAATTAAGGAACATCACAGGGTGAGATTAAGAATTTCTTTTTAACATCAGCACAGCTGCTTTTGGGAGCAAAAAATTACTGCTTGATTTCTCTCGCGCGTCCTTTTGACTTTGTTTCATTTCAGGGGCTTGGCTGGAAGGTAAGGATTCCAGTACCTTATGTTTTTAAATAATGAGAGGAACCATGAAGTTCATGCGGTGGAACCCAATGGACCTTCTACCTTAAATGAGGTCCGAAAAAAGCATTGCTTACTTGGCAGGTAATATCCTCCACACGGTACGGGTTGTAAGACTTCTGGCAAGTTCGACAGAACTGTCTAAAGTAAACCTGTGGGAAGAGAAGATTTAGGTAAGAGGTCCCCAACCTTTTGGGCACCAGGGACCCGTTCCATGGAGAAAGGTTTTTCCACGGACTGGAGGGTGCGTGGTTTTGTGTGCTGCCTGCATCCTGCAAATGGGGCTTTATTTGTTTGTGCGGACCGGTTGCTGGCATGCTGCGGCCCGGTACTGGTCCATGGACTGGGGATTGGGGACCCCTGATTTAGGATCCACCGCTCCAGCAAATAAAGTCTACCTTGGGCAATGTTAGGATTTAGGAGATTTCCTGACATTTCGCCAGCAACTGTAGCAGATCACCTTGCCTCTAAAGACCCCAGCCATCAGGAAACTTGTTGTCTACACCAGGGGTCCCCACCTTTTTGGTTCAGCAGTTTCAGCGGTGGGGAGGAATGATTTCACGCGCACAACCTAAACCCTGTGCTTGCGCAAATGAAGCTTCACACACTTGCCCGCCACTTCAGCCGCCCAGTTCCCAATGGGTCGTAGTCCAGTAGAGGGCTTCAACCCAGGGATTGGGGCCTCTGGTCTACACCACAGTCACTAAACCCTGAAGCCAAACACTAACCCAACCGATTGTAGTCATGAAAGCCTACCTTGTTTGTGCCCTGTACGCACCAGACATAGGCACTCTCCCATCGGATATTGCAGTCCTTGCAGTGGTAATAGCCATACTTCTGCTCTAGGAACTAGAAAACTCAGTGGTTAAAAAGAAATACTACTGTTAAGTATATTCATCCTAGATAGAACATCTTTCTTCAACCCAATGACCTGGTAAGTTCTTAGACCGGAACTCCTTCAAATCGCAGACAGAATTTTTGGCGTTCTTATGCAGGTTGATACTACATTCGTTTTTTATTTACTGGATTTCTAGGGCTGCCCAACTCATAAGGGCTCTATGCAGTGTACGTACACACACACACACACACACACACACACACACACACACGCAAGCCCTAATAAACCAACCAGAGCAATGATCCTCAGTTTAGGCAATTTTAAGATGTGTGGACTTCGATTCCGAAAATTCCTCAACCAGAATTGTGGGAGTTGAAGTCCAGACATCAAAGTTCCCAAGTTAAGACATAACAAGGTGGTCACTCTGAAGTGATACCTAGTAAAGGTAGTCTTCAAATTGTGGCAATTGGAATGCTTAACACAAACCATTATTTGAACTGGAAAATCTGTTGTTAAGCAGAGCCGTTGTTAAGTGAGACATCACATAACTATGACTTGCAACCTTCCTGCCGGCTTCTGCATAGATTGTGTGTGTCGGAAGCTTGCTGGGAAGTTGGCAAATGGTGATCACATGACTCTAGGAAACTGCAACCATTGTAAATGTCCAGATTGCCCTCACATGGCTGTGGGGATGCTGCAAGAGTCTTAACCATCTATGTCAGCTAACAATTTAAGTTTGCTTCAGATTGTCAGCTTTAACTTAATGCCCTAAATATGTCATGAGCAACGGTTTTACAAACCACACTGGCTGGAGTCACAAACCACACACTAAGAAACAAACAAGTAAAGCATATCATGGCTTATTATATGTGCAGACCCAGCCGGAGTCCTAGAAATAAACCAGGACGCCTGCTAAACCTGGAGTTTATAAGGTGTGAATGGCAGCAAGGAATTCACTACTCCTAGAAGGCGAGAATAATCGCTTCTAGCTTTTTAACATCTATCTGAAATGTTCAAAACATCTCATTACGGGCCTGAAATAGCCAGCCCGTCTCTGAATCCTTATTCTGGTTTTCCTTTTAAATGCATTTTGTTTTTAAGATAAAGGCACTCTTGGGTCACCCTCTTTTCTCAGCCAGAGGGAAGAAGCCCCACTCTACCTCCCACTGTTTCTTTGGCTAAGCGGCTTTGGGTTTTAAGCCAAAAGAAATAACAAACTCATGGCAGCTTAAAAGAAATAACAAACTCAAAAGAAATAAACTCATGGCAGCTTAAGCTTTGCCCTCAGACTCTCTGTTCTGTGTTTGGGGGACTTCAGGGGTGAAGCTGCTCACGCCGTCTAGTTCAGGGGTCTCCAACCTTGGCCGCTTTAAGACTTGTGGACTTCAACTCCCAGAATTCCTCAGCCAGCTTTGCTGGCTGAGGAATTCTGGGAGTTGAAGTCCACAAGTCTTAAAGCGGCCAAGGTTGACAACCCCTGGTTAGTTTATACACCCAGAAGCGGCTTCAGGCAGCCCCGTCGAGCAAGGGCGGCCGCCATACGCCGTCAAAAAGCGAGGAGGGCGGCCGCCACTGCCACCATCCCAGTTCCACTCTGGTTTCACGGGTGTTTGCACCGTCGCGGCGGCCGACGCCCTCAGGACTTTTTGACTAGGCCAGGGGTAGGCAACCTTGGCTCTTTTATGACTCATGGACTTCAATTCCCAGAATTCCTCAGCCAGCCATGCTGAGGGGAAAGGGAGAGGTTTCCAAGCTGAGCCATGCCGGCTCAGGAATTCTGGGAATTGAAGTCCACGAATCATAAAAGAGCCAAGGTTGCCTACCCCTGGACTAGGCCCTACGGCAGTGTTTCTCAACCTTGACCATTTTAAGGCATGTGGACTTCAACTCCCAGAATTCCACAGCCAGCATTGCTGGCTGTGGAATTCTGGGAGTTGAAGTCCACATGCCTTAAAATGGTCAAGGTTGAGAAACACTGCCCTCCGGGCTGAGGTGGGGGGGACACGGGTGGCTGACTGGGCCGCGTGGGCTGCTTAGAGGGACGCTCCTCAGGCTCGGGCCTTAACTCTTCCGTCGACGGACAGCCGGGGGGCCCCCACCTGGAAGCGCACGCGGGCCTTGTTCGGCTCGGCCTCCTCCTCCTCCTCCTCAGCCAGTGGCGGGACGGTAATGGTGGCAGCGACGGCGGCGGCCTTCCCGCCTTCGCCTTTCCGCTCCTTCTCGGCCTGGGCTTTCGTCGGGGAGCCTCCCGCCCCGTCGGGGACCGAGGCCGACTTCTTCTTGCGCTCCTGGCACTCGGCGCCGCTCTCTTTCTCGGCTTTGGGCCAGACGGCGGCGGCAACGACGGCGGCGTCCCCTTCGAAGCCCGGCGGCGGACCGGCGGCGAGCGTCGACGGCTCCCGCCGCTCGGCTTCCTCCAAGAAGGTGGTCAGGCGGCGGGAGGCCACCGGCGAGTAGACGGCGATGGTGCGGGGGAAGCGCACGGAGCGCGGGGCGCCGCTGACCGGGCAGCCTTGCTCCTGCTCGCCGCCTCCTCCTCCGCCGCCGCCGCGGGCCCGGGAGCGAAAGAGCAGCGGCCGCGACCCGAGCGAGCACTGCACCGAGGCGTCCTGGCGCGGGTTGACCTGGACGCCCACCTCCTTGGTGTTGGCCTTGCGCAACCGCGGCGTCAGGTTGGGGTTGACCTGGGACAGGATGGCCTTCAGCTGCGCCCGCTGGTAGTTGTCGAAGTACTCGGCCGCCGCCGCCGCCGCCACCGCTTCGCTGTAGCCGGACAGGTAGCTGCTCCGCTGCCGCCAGGCGCCCTGCCCGCCTTTGCTCTTGGGCGGCTGGTAGCGGTAGGAGTAGGGGTTGTACGAGGGGTAAGCGTAGCTCTCCATGGCCTCGTCCATCAAAGTAGCCATCGCGCGCGCGCCCCGGGAGGCTAGCGCTCCGCCGAGGGCGCTTAAATCTCCCGCGGGGCGGGCCGGGCCGGGCCGG